TTTTTTGTATAAATCCGATTATCTTAACAAATATAAGTGATTGATAGATATTTTCTTACAATACTTTTTGTTTGCGATGATTAGCTCATCGGAATTGCAAATATGATAAACAATACGCTTTAACGTTCGCAAAAAATTTTAACGTTCTAGCAACAATTTGTGAGTGTTCTACATAATTATTTTAATGACCCAAACAAAATTACTTCCAAGTTTGTATTTATCTAAATTTTTAGATACTCCAGTAAAACTGTTCTTTCCATGTACGAACAAGTATTCGTTGAGACGATATGACTAGTTTAAAAGTGAGATAATACGAATATTGTCGTGAGATAATACGAACAATGATAACGTTTGAGTTATGTGTGTAGCTATAAAATCGTCACATAAAGGCGGCACTCGAAAGATTGAGGCTCGTATTCAAAATGCTAACATCGTAACCGTTCATCATCGATAAATACGCGCTTTTATGTTGAAATTCTATAATATACATAACGTGACTATATGCTAAATACGCGCTAACATCATAAAAGCGCGTTCTAAATACGGATTTGGAATTCTAAAAATGATGCAAAACGTTTGTATTAAAGATTGTAAATAAAATTTAATAGAAAACTTTCGTATAACATTAATATGTTTTAAATAATTAAAATCTTGATTTTCGTAAAAAAAAAAGATTTATTTTTCTCAACAGAGTAGTTTAAATTTTAATCTTTCGAAAATTTTTGTATGAAAAATATTTAGTTGTATGAAATTAATACTCCTTTTCTATCAAATGACTATTAAGATTTTTTAAATATTCGGTCTGCAATAAAATTAATTAATATGTAGATCGTTGACTTACCCAAATCGTGGTATATGAGGAAAATAATATCGGTTATTAAAATGCGTGATAACAAAATGAGAGACTTGAAATGCACGATTCTTCATTGAATCAGAAATCAGTGATAAAAAATTTTATCGCGATCAAGTAGCGTATAAGTAGTTAATTTCAACATTAAAATCTAATCAATATTTTTGTGTTGATAAAGAATTTTCAAGGATCTAGTGTTTTACCGATGTTTTATGTGTTGTCTGTGTGTAAAATTAATAATATTAACAAACAATGTAATTATATATATGTGCATCTCTAAAAATACGCTACAATATACAAATTATTTTCTTACTCGGCTGAAAACTGTTGAAAAAGAAAAATTAATTAGAACGGATTCCATAATTCTAGGTGCGAGACAAACGTATTGCACGATTGGTACGATATTATTAACATAACTGTGCTGTCATGATAACGAATGAAATAAGAACACAGGGCAATGTCCATCTTGCAAAAACAACGGCACATATTATTTCCTACGCATTTAGTCTTCGAAATACGAATATAGATACAGATAATTTTATTTACGTACAAAAATAAAACTAAATTTTGTGCTATAAATCAACGATAATAGGAACGATTTTATTGAAGTATCTAAAATTTAACTAGATATAGAAAATAAGTTTCAGACCATCAAAATAATTATGTAAAACGCTCAAACTAGTTGCCAGAATATTAAAATTTCTTGCAGAATTATCATTAACGTTTAAACATTGATTAACATGACATAATTATTTTGATAATCCAACACAGTTATTTTCAGATCTGTAACTAATAGCGAATTTTAGTGCGCATCTAGTGCATATTAAGGTCTATTACACAATAGAGTCGCAATTCGTAAGTCGTAAGAAATTAACCAATCATAGTCGATTATTTTTGTCATATTCAACTGTGATTGGCCAATTTCTTACGGCTTACGAATTGCGACTCTATTGTGTAACAGGTCTAAAGCCTGTTGGGCACTGATTTAATCTGTGTGAAATGCAAATATTTCGAATTATAAAATACAAAGTTTACTTAACAAAAATAATAAAATATATTGAGAATTTTATTGAATTTGATTTTATATGTTTACATCATGTATATGTTTTACGTCAATTTGTGTACGACGGCTTTACCCCGGATCTACAATAGGGTTTTAAGCCTTAAGCCATAAGAAATGGGCGAATCACAGTCGATTATTCCCCTCGGATTCGACTGTAATTGGTAAATTTCTTACGGCTTAAGGCTTAAAACACCTATTGTAGATCCGGACTTAATGTGCACCCGTGCGCACTGAGTGCATCCAATCGGATTCGCTATTAGATACTTCAGCAAAACCGTTCTTTCCATGCAAGAATTAAAATCGTACGATATAAGTATTACAAATTAAGTAACGTACAGTGTTATCTGAAAGATCTATGATTGAAGTCTTTATGATTGAAGATTGATGTCTATATGATTGAAGAAAATAATAGCGACAATAAGATACAAAAAGAGGCTTTGATACGCTGTAGAACTATGTAGATACCCAGAATTATGTATATCCAGGACTTAGGCATGTAACCCCGATAATACAAACGGGCATAAAAACGAAAGAGAAATAATAGAAAGAATGAACCTGTAAATTAGGTCTCGCCATACCTTGTTAAAGCACTGGGCAATTCGACCTTGACAGGTAGTCTTAATTTATGCATTTTATTTTATACATACACACACTGCTATGTCATTAACAGTACAGTCTCCTCTTTGCCTCTTTTTCTCTCTCTCTCTCTCTCTCTTTCTCCCGCAGCCAGATGCGTAGACGTGCACACACGCGTTTTTAACACGCTGCGTGTGCCGCGTCTACGTACGACTACGTGCGAAGCGATGTAACGGGAAACATAACCAATAAGATATGTACCCAAATACAATCGCTTTCTTCAAAGAGGGGAACGGAGGTAGGAGAGAGAGCCACAGAAAGAGTTCGAACGTGGAGCGTTGGTACGGAGAGAGAGAGACCAAAGGGGGGAAAAAAATCAGAAAGAGAAAGAGAGAATGTGTGAAACAAGAGGGTTACACAACACTAATCAAACGACACACGAACGAAACTAACCAACTATATAACGGAGGAGCGGGGGAGAGGGCGGTCTAGTTAGTGATTTTTACATGGGCACTGGACGGCAAGCGATTCCTCTTCGAGCTCACGCTCGTCTCTCGCCGACGATGGATTCTCGAGACTCGATCTTCGATGCAAATTCATTTAGTCACCGTTAAAGCCACTCGCGACGGGCAACGGACGCACGTCAACGCACGTATGTAATTAAATGTAGGTTTACTCCGTGCGCGTATCGGTTGGACGTTGGACGACGCCACCGGCGGCGATCCGTATTGTCCGCCGTCGGGTCGGTCGGTCGCACACACACTGGCAGCCCCGAGCCCGAGACTACGCGCACCACTCTTCACCCGTGCTGGTTTACATACTCCGACGGCCAGATGTGATACGATGATATTTCGTGGAAAAAAAGAACGAGCGAAGATGGCGTCGTTCGATTCGTTCATCGCGTGCGATTCGTCTATCGCGCGCGTTCGCGGCAATACAAAATAATGGACCGGACAGACTCTGTGAGTTCATAGAGCAATTATAATTATCGAAGAATCACGTGTGAACAAATTTTAACGTTCATCCGCGAGATAAAGCGTACGACTCGTATGAGCGCGGGTTTCTTCGAATTATTCGACGTCGCGCGGCGATGTGAGCGCACCTACGACGATTACGAATTGCGATAAGTCAGCTGCGAGATATCGACCGATATCTACCCGCCAAAATTCGAACGGTTTCTCTAGTTTGATTCGATCCAATATATGTATGATTAGGGGCGGAATCCGTAGACGGTGCTCAAGATTCGAGATGGTCTAATGTTTAATTTCTTCACTTTCAGATAAGTTGCGGATAATCTTATCCAGGAGATATCTCTTGGATAAAGTTATTTAGAGGTGAAGAAATTGGACATAAGACCGAACTATGGATTCCGGCCTAGTTTCGAAGATGTCGAATGAGGTTACTTACTGATTTATAGAATCTAATCATGGATTAATCAAATAAATCATTTGTCACTGTCTATATTATATAATACGATTCGTATAAAAATTAAGTAATCTGTTCGACTGCAGTGAAAGTTGACATCGCTTGTATGGGTTTCAAGATGACTCGTCTATTATTGTCTTAAAAAAATTAAAATTGATAAGAACAAAAGACTCTTAATTTCAATAAACAATAAATATATTAAAGGACATGTAAGAGTCTAAATTTCAAATGTTATGTTAAAAATGATAGAATATTTTTTTTTTTTTACATAATAGATACTAAAAATAATTAGTGTTTATTAAAAAAAAACAGTACTATTCGATGGAACCGAATTATTTGCTTTATCTTTTTTTAACGAATGATAGAATAATGTACATAATTTGTTACTTGTTGATATTTCCATCGCCCTATATTTCATCGACATCACTAACATCGAAAAATATTTGCGATGGAGTATAAAATATGTATGGTAATGAAATGAGATCGATGAAAAATGATATAGAATTGACGATGAAAATATTGCTTTATTCAAAGCAGATGATACATTATTGATGTCGTTTAATGCTGCTCGTAAATCTGGCTGGAAGTACAAACGCGATCATGATATACGATCTGATCCTTTCTTCAAGTGATGATTGGATAACGCATAATGTAACTGTAATAAAATAATCAATAACATGATAAATAACTCATGATAATACGTCTCATGAGACGTAGAAATGTAAAATTGTTTCAAGCAGAAATCAAAGTACCATGCGCTGCAGAAATTAGTAATTAAACATGTTATTGTTAAACCTACGACATTGCCTTCCTATTCTTTCTCATGAATTCAAATCGTTAATCCGTCGATCAATGAATAAAAGTTGAATACATTAATGATTCATTTATCTTTTTGCGACATAAATAGCCAATAAAAAATTCATTGATGATAGAAAAGCAATTAGATTTATTAACGACACGTTCTTTTAATTGTTTCGTATTATTCATGCAACTTAAAATTGCCAAAATAGGGCAAATACAAACAAGTGGATACAAAATGTACACAGAGAATATTTGTTGAGGGATCGAGCGGAGATAATAGCTTACCTAAGCAACGCTTTCCTCCAACAGTAGTCCGTCTCGATGACAAGCAGCTGCAGTTTCATCATATATGTGGACGTGGACCAAGACATACGAACAAATCATAAACGGTTAATGACTCTCTTATTCGTCTCCCAGCGAAAATTCTCCTTCATTTTCTAATTCTTTCTTTTCTTGCTCCTTCTCTTTCTTTTCGTTAATGAAGGCGTGATTCCGTGCTATTCGAGTTGCGATTAGCGCGACCCAATTATCCAGGTTTGTGTTATCGATCAATTAGAACGAAGCACACGGAACGAAACAGAGCAAACTGACACATGAGTGCTCTTTTTTTTTCTCCTTTTTCTTGCTGTAGTGAAAAAAGAAAAAATTTAAAGGAAGATGCAGGTCGAAGATTCCCCGGGAAGCGCACGAAATGATACACTGCACAGTAGCTGAAGATGTATTAAACGCGATGATGATCGCTTATTTGGAAAGCTGTGAAAACGGAAGCGGTCGAGTTGCGAGATCTCGAAGAGAACGGCTTCTGATCATCTTCGTAGCTTGTTGCCGTTACATGTTCCTATCTGCCGCTGTTTTCTCACACTAAACTCACAATCAGATAATGACGAAAAAAAAATAGCACGGGAACCCGCCCGCCTGGCTGTCTGCTTGCTACCGTAGCTGATATACGTGCTCCTCCATCCAATACGCGTCGCGACGCCAACGAAGGCGCACGCGCTTCCTCATGGATCGCTATTTCTCCGTCATGAACAAATATTACGACCAGTTGGCTATTAGTGACGTCATGCAAAACAAGGGCCGGTTTCACTCACGAATGTTCAGCAGCTGTCCAGAACTCACTCTCCAAGAAGAATTGGAGTACCTGTATGAAGATCAACTGAATCTCTTTTTTTTTTCTTTTGGATTAAAACTACTTGAGAATAACGTCTCTATAGCTGATTCTACAATGAGTCGGTAGTCGATAGTCCTAAGTCTTATCAGTGAATCGGTGGAGTTGGCCAACAGCCAACTTGTACGACTAAGCCTACTGATTTTCTTAAGACTGACCAAATTCGACTTTATTCTTTCCCATTAATCGAGCTAAACGATTCGTTGTACAATTAACAACTAGTAAATGCAAAAAATCATAGTCACCTATTTAAGTTAAAACTGGTTAAGATTTAAGATTTCCGACTACCGACTCATTGTAGAATCAGCATAAGACAAAACAATACCGACATTATAATATGGCACGATTAAAATGAATGTGCAAGTGTGTCAAACAAAAATAAAATTCTTATAATTTACGAGCGGACAAAAAATAGATTGTACAAAGCATGAATATTCCATGCTTTGTACAATCTATTTTTAATAAAATATAAAATATATCTTAAAACTGAAGATAAAATGTATCTTAAAACTGAAACGAATTACTAATATTGATTTTTATTCGAACCAAGTTAATAATATGTACTTATTAAAATATTTTTTTTTATTAGTGACGTTAAAATTTGAAAACAATTCTGTCATGCAAAAATATAAAGTTAAGAAATCTCTGTCAAAACAAAAAAAAAAGAACTTCACGAAGATTAATAAATTTTTAAAAAATGGTTGGAAAAATTGTAAGATAAACACAATTTAACTCTCATATTTCAATATTACTTTACTCGATCTTCTCAAAAGATACAAATAATGATTTTTCACGTAAGATTTGGAAATGTAATAAAATAGTATCAAATTTAAATAACTGAACGGTATATATGTATGTACATACATTGAAATTGAATAGAAAAAATTGAAAATAAGTACAAATATGTTTAATATATAAAAGAGATCATTAAAAGACGATGAATATATAATTAGAAATTCTTCTATAAATAATTCTACCGATCGAATTAATTAGAGTTTAGTCAAAATTGCTTGGATATACAGGGCATCCTTGGATTTTCCAACAAGTTTTTAAGAAAAAGACTTTTCATACAAATTTCAAGTATGTTCTATGAGCTAAAATGAGAAAAAAAATGTTATAAACATAGTTTCTAAAATGCTTTATTGAAAAGTTATAACAAAAATGTAAAATGTATAAGAAATTATAGTGTTATCTATAAATTTGCATTTCGAAGTGCAATTCATGTCAATACAGCTTGACGTTGATATAATTTTGAATGAATTTCTCACCTTTTTTGCAAGGACAGAAGAAATCTTATTATGAAGATTTCCTCTACTTTCGCAAAAAAGGTAATAAATTCAAAATTACATTGATGTCAATTAGCTTGTACTGACATGAGGGGACGACTCTTTAAAATGCAACCTTCAGTAAAATTGTTTCTTACACGTTTCATATTTTTATTATAACTTTTTAATAAAGCATTTTAAGGACCTATGTTTATATAACATTTCTTTCTTATTATTTTAGCTCATAGAACATAGAGCTAAAGTTTGTAGGTACGAAAAATCCAGAAACATTTTAAAATCAGCTATTTCTTTATATAATTATAAAGAAGTTAATAAAAATATAAAGGAAAAATACAGTATGATACCTTATTTTCCTTATAACTTGCTTATCAATTTTAACGATTGCCAACCAGTCTATCAGACGAAGATTTTCAAGAATCATTTTAGCATTGTGTGTTGTATATCTAATTCTAATTTTAATATTTATAAGAATATCTAATTCTTCTGATTAGTTAGAAGCTCATCGAGCCTCTATTGTATAGATCGTTTATCACACTCATTTCATAGCTTTCATTGATCGTAACTTGACAATAAAATTATTCATGAGCCGCATTCTAATAACAAGTGTTTGCACGATGACTGATCTCACACGATAAAACACTGTCGTGATTCGACTACATTAAAACTCTCCTATAAATCTTTATTAAGAGAGAAACAATGAGACATCTTACATGATTATATAATAATTTTATAAATATAATTTCTCGCAACAGTAATCGCTGCTGTAATTTCAAAAAATTGCGCAAATATGTCCCTATAATCTATACGGATATGTGTGTATGTATATACATATCGTATAATCAAACACATATATTGATATATGGAAAAAGATAAAAAATAAAGAAGAAAGAGAAAGTGCCAGTAGAGTAAACAAACCGTGAGAGAATATATCGAAAAAACTCGATCGTGGTTTTCTCGACAAAACTCGATTGGGTTTCTCTTCAGCTACCAACAGATGAAAACTTATTGAGATTATTTTAGTTCGCAGTGGTTCGCAGCTGGTTCGCAGCAGCATGAGGAGACAGGCTAGTGTTTTCCTTCTCCTATTTACTTCTTTCTTGATTCTTTGCAATTTGAAAAATATTTTGGAGTTGCATCAAAAGGATCGTCGAGTATGGACTTGTAATTTTTGAAAATTTCTGACGAAAATAATCTTTTTTTGTCATTTTTAACAAATATTTTAACAAATATTAACCGAACTATTGGTTATTACTGGCCGAATTGAATCTGGATTGAAGATTGAGAGTCATGTCCTGTGTATAACCTTAATCCAAATGAATTGATGTAGATTGGAACAATGTAAAGATGGACGATAATATATTTTCAAGAATATAATTTAATCATGGAGTACTTTAGCGAAATATTTCTGCTTGGAGTTGACACGATTGTATTCACTATCTGCTTGAAACAGTATATTCACTATAAGAATGTGATTAAGGCGATTAAGGTAGACGATATAAATTCATTGTTAAAGTTCTAAAACATAATCTATACATTTATATAATAATCTATTAATGTAAATTAGAATATTAAAAAATATTACAGGCAATTTAAAAACTTATATTTTTTGTAGAATGTCGAGCTGCATGACGTTGGCCCAGATTTGGAAAGTCTACTTAATAAAAGCCCGAATAACAAAGTAGATTATATCGCTGTCAGAGGGGTCGTGAGACCATTAAAAGAATCATTACAAAGCGTTAATAAAAAAGATGTCGCCGGAGTCATACAGAAGCTTAGTGTCAGAGAACATGTTGTCGCAAGAACATCAGCTGGTTATTGGTAGGTTATTGAATATCTCAACTTTATGAACAATTCTGTAATTGTAATATAAGTATATCTTATAACAATAATCTTGATAATATTATATTTCTTTCTAATTTAGTTTGTAACTCCATAGGTCTGACCAAGAACGAACAATTCAGCAAGTGTATAATATCGTACCATTCGTTTTGCAAAATAGATGGTACCGTGTTGAGATAACAGATCCATTGTCTGCTGATATTTTAGACTTGGATGTAATCTCCGATAATTTTCAACCTAGTGTACCTACAATTATAGATCATATATGGGGATTTTTTACAGGTAACATAATAAAACTTGTAATCAGACTAGTTCTTATTTTTATTATGCAATATAGAATCCTATGTATACTCCTGTTAAAAATATGTATGTATGTGTTGCGCATGCATGAAATTCTTAAACTTGAATTTATTATATGATTTCTTAGGAGTACGCCAACGAGGTATACAGTCTACAGAAAAAATGTTGCGTGAAGATTCAATTATTACAGCAATAGGTGAGCTCTCGAGGTCGAAAACTGAATCCAATTATCTTACTTTGCAACCTCCATTAAATGGATCTCCTTTTTATATAACAAGCATGTCAATTACTTCTTTGATGCGGAAATTAGATGATCATAAGAAAATATACAGGCACGTACATTTTAGTGTATTGGAATTTTATTATACAGTATTTAATTGGAATATATTATTTATTATATTATTAAGTCTGAATTTATATAATCTTCTGAAACACATAGGCTATTTTGTTTGATGAGTGGCACAATTGGATTAGTACTCGGAGGAATTATGATAAGACGCTATTGGAAGAATAAACAGCAGCAAAGATTAGCAGATCAATTACGTAAATCGCTGGAAACATCTCGTCAAGAAAGGCGTCAAAGGGTCAGGGATAGAGATCTTAGAGACGATCAAATATGTATAATTTGCAGGACAAACGCACGTGAAATTATTTTATTACCTTGTGGTCATGTATGCATATGTGAAGATTGCTCAGTTAGCATCAATAATAATTGTCCTATTTGCAGAACACAGATTATTCAAAAAGCGGCTGCATATATAGTATAAATTTCATCTTGACATGAATACCACTTTTATATAGCAAAAATATTTTTATTGTATCAGAAAGTGTGAAAACGATGATTGATTAAAATAATACTATTTTACGATCCTATCTCCTTTATGCGATAGATGTGTACAGTTTTATTATTTATAAATGAAAATCTCTAATTTACAAAAGCAATATATAAGTACATTAATTACAATAATTATAAAGAGTATAAAACTATTTTCTGATGTGATTTTTAATATATATGTTTAATGAACTTTGGATATATGTACAAGTTATTTTTTGTTATCAGTCTTGTTTTAAAGCTCTATGTATTTATAACTTTTTAAAAATATATTTAGAGGCCTATTCTGTAACTCTTAACGATCATAATGCAGTTACAGTCATTAATGAGTTACAGAAAAGGCCCTTTAATTTTTAAATGAAAAGATAGTAAAATGGTTTTTTTCCAATAATAACTGAAAGAACACATATGTGTGGAAAATTTATTTTTGTAAAATATATTTTGGGGGGGGGGGTGCACATGTTATATATTTAGACAGTTATACATTTAGTTGCATAAGAATCTTAAAGATCTATATTTTGCGGTTTGTTTTTTTTATCCATATGCAAGTTCATTATCTTTTTAGCTTTACTAGATTTACCAATACCGAGTTTTGGCAGTCCTCTATTCAAACCTTCCAACAAAACACATGCTTTACATATTTCTTGACTTGAGACAAATCCACATTGGGTACAATTTCTTCTCTTTGGCATTTTTACATTATCTTTTACTTGTAACTGCTCACCTAATAAATAATATTAACCAATTTGGCTCATCATCCGAAAATGACCTACGTCTAATTGCCATTTATTTAAGAATTTAAGCAGGAATATTCTAGATTTCAAATGAATAACTCTTAAACGGATTTCTAATGTCTATCAAAATTTAATGCCAAAATATTTAAAGAAAATTATAAATAGGGGATAGGATATTATAATGTATAGGACATATTGGCTGTATTCTGTAAAACGCATGATGTATCATTTATCTTGAGAATGGAAGTATAGTAACGCCGTTACTTTTTATAATAATGATTTGATAATGACATTGCAATTTTTTATGACTAACAATAATTAACTAAACGCTAAGGTTGCACTAAGATTGGCAAAATCACTTTCAAAAGTAACTTATAACGCATCGACGTTATTTTATTCGTTATAAGTAACGGATAAAAGTAATTCGTTACAAATACGAATTATTTTTCCAATCCGTTAGAAGTAACAATTCACTTTTCCACTCTAGTATTACTGTTGCCGCTATAAAAAATTCGCAACATCATTACTAAATTATTATTATAAAAAGTAATTATAACAAAATAACGATAAAAAGTAACGGCGTTACAAATAACACATACTTTCATTCCCTGATTTTTTTATTTTTATTGTTCATCGAATAATAAACAAGAATGAAAATGATCCTACGCAATATGCGTTTTACAATCGATGGTTAAAACCTTTTAAAAATTGTTCACAGTCATGATATTAACAACATATATCAAGGTAATTAAAAATGCCTCTCCTAATCGACATATTTACCCTTTATTTATTTTTAGCATTAAATTTCGTTTTTATCGATAGAAATCCTTTTAAGGACATTTAATTGACATTTTAAATATTTCTGTTAAAATTCATAGCAATTGGGCGTTGGCTATTTTTGAAAATTATTCACTATTTTTTTAATTTTCAGGTTGCATGATAGATTAATATTGATATTGTAATAAGAAATTAACATAATTAAAAAGACATTCTTACCTGAATGTATTATGTCTATGATAGATGACGGTCTTATTTTTTCTAAATCCTTTAAAAAGGCTCTTGCATGACCTCTATAAGCATTTGGAGCATATATACATTCTGTAGAGAAGTATACTAGATTTTTAAAATATGCATACATGACAATCTCTTTTTCATATGCATATTTCAGAGGTTTACATCGCATGATAGAATCTGCACCAGTCTATATTACATAAGAATATAAATATCAAAGAAATTTGTTGTAATTTTATAAACATTTTATATACAATATTCTTACAGTGATTACAGATGTACATCTATGTAATCGGGCAATATCACCTCTCAAGATATTCATTAGTACCGTTTCAGCGATGTCATCTGCATTATGACCTGTTGCGATGCAATCTACTTTCAAAATTGCAGCTCCTCTATCTAATGCCTGTCTTCGGAAAACACCGCAAAATGTGCAATTATTTTTACGGCCAATCTAAAAAATATATATTCTATTATATATGTTTGAAATTATAAAAAAATATGGTTAGGTCTTACACCAATTTGATCCACAACAAGACAGACTGTATATTTTTATGTAAGGTATTTAGTTGACAGATCCTCAAATTATTAGATGTAAGCAGTTAAGTACTGAACTAAAGACAAATTCTTAGTAAGCTTTAGCTGTCAATAGTTTAAATATTTGATATAATTTACCTCTGCAACTATAGAATCCATTGTCCATCCATACAATTCCTTGTATGATAAAATTTTAAGTGGAATACCATAATCATCTTTATTCTGCGTCACAGTTTTCAAGCTGTCATCTCTGTAGCCTAAAAAGATACATTTAAAAAAATAATAATAATTACAAATGGACTCTCAAATTCTAAATAACATATAAATAAATAAAAGTAGGCTAATGAGAGTCAGCGCAGATAAATGGTGCAAATATTATTATGAAATAATTTAATATTCTGTAGTTGGATGTTTTCTTTATATATATTTGAACGTTTTAATTCTCTTTAGTCCTCCTTCCTCAGTAATGCAGATACAAAAGTATTTATCTGCGTTGACTTTCATTAATCTACTTTTATTTATATGTTATTTAAAAGAAAATTATATTTTTTATGTATAATATACGGCTTCAATATAAAGATATTATTTTTATAGCTGCATTACCAGTAATTCCTTCATCGATGGATAAAAGAAACAGGTCCAATTCATATTTGTATCTTTCATTCAAAGTCTTTAAAACATATGCTAGTACAGTGGAATCTTTTCCACCTGATGCTCCAATAGCAACTTTATCGCCAGGTTTGAATAATTTACCATTGATGATAGTATCATGAATCTCAGTCTCAAATGCCGAGAAAAAACATTCTTTACACAATGTATCGCCAGTTTTTGGCCTCTAAAAATGCATACATATTTTTTTTATTTAATAATGCAACAATATAGCAATTTTTAGATGTAGTATAAAACAGGAAAATAATTTACCTTTAAAATGGCATTTTTTCCACACTTTGTGGAACATTGTGGAAATGAAGACATCTCAATTATTTTTCTTAGGTTACCAATAAATCTTGTTATATGACAATTTCTTTAATAATACAAGATTGCAAAAACAAACACGTGTTCTATACACATAGATCTTTGTGATCACAAACACAATTAAGGTTATATGGCGATTATGCAAAATAAAATTATAACACAGTCACAAGTAATGTTGATTTAACAAAATCCACTTGAGTTTATTAATGTTTCTTAAAACATGTGATAAAAAACAAAAATTTTATATTATTATCTTCGAAAATTAGTTTTTATCACACGAAAAAAAAAAGTTCGAGCAAGAACGCGCGATTTAATCCTCTGGCTTCTCAGGCGGTGGTCCACAGGGTTGCAGCATCTTCTCCATGAGATTGAATCTAACTCGTGCTTTGGCTTCGTTCTCAGCAATCGCAAAGAAATTCAGCAAATCGTAGTGGCCCATATACGAACTGCAGGAATCCCTGTGCTGATTCACCAGCCATTCGAACTTGGTTGTGTCTGCATGTCCTGTACCAATGTATTTGGATTGTAAATGCTCCAACTGGCTATGAATATTGTAGCGTTCGCCCATTTTTTCGATTTAAAGCAGACTTCCTCGCGCGATCTCGTTCTTCTCTAATGATATTGAATATTAAATTAATAATCACACGTTTCGCCACCCATAATTCGTATATCTTTAAATCTTCTACCTTTTTATAGGTTATGTTCGCTAAAGCCCATTTTATGGCCCGTCTACAATACACGTAGTAAGCTTGGTTTAAGAAGAGTAAGAAATTGACCAATCACAGTCGATTATTCTTCTCACATTCGACTGTGATTGGTCAATTTCTTACTCTTACTTCTTAAACCAAGTTTACTACATGTATTGTAGGCTGCGGTCCACGCTACAAACGCTTCGAAGCATTCTTTGATTAGTCAATTCGTAAAATTCTTTGTTCTGATTGGTCGCTCAAACGCTTCGAAGCGTTTGTAGCATCAAGTGGACCGCAGCCGTAAACAGGCCATTATGTTATGGCCTTAGGGTATATCCACACGGACTTGCATAGCCACATAAACGTATGCATAAAGAAAATTGTCCAATCACAATTTACGTGCGTCTTTATAGGAGAAATGTGATTGGATAATTTTCTTTATGCATACGTTTATGCGACTATGCAAGTTTGTCTAAAGTACTGTGTACTAAAGTACTTTATCAAAATTTTATGTGAAAGAAAAATACACATTTATATTCTCTGTCATTCTTTTTCTGTCTCTCAGGAATTAACAAAACATGGCAGATCAATCAAAACAGGCTGTCTAATAGCCAAATTCTAGGATATTAAATATATAAAATATATTAATGTTTATTGAAAAAAAAAACATAAATAATGTTACGTAAATATTGACTACATTTACACGGCACCCTTAATTGGGTTTAATAACATCCGTAATTATGAAATTAGTTAATCATAGCTGTTTTTCAGAAGAATGGAACGACTGCGATTGGCCAATTTCATAACTACGGATGTTATTAAACCTGATTAAGGGTGTAGTGTAAATGTATAGTTATCGATGTAGTATCATGTATTGCAAAGGAATGTGAATGTACCTGAGAAGATATTGTTATTTCTCTGAGAAGATATTATTATTATTTCTCAACAGAATGTTTCTTCTGTACACATTTAACTTAGCTCGTCTCAATACTTTCATTTTCAATACTTTCAATACTTTCATTTTACACTCTAGTTTTTGTCGGTTCATAAGGCGTTTTAATCGGTTATTAGAATGTCTCAATTTAACAACAGTGTTATATAGCAATCTAGCAATTGGACTAAGATTTCTTGCACGAATTATATGATTCAAATTTCTTCTTCTTCGTGAACTGTTTGTTATGGGAGTTGTCATTATTGTTAACTGTTCTTCTATTCTTTGCAATCGTTTTTCAAGATTATGAATTACATTTTCTTGTTGTTTTTCATTATCTTCCTGTTCACAATATGATTGCTGTAATTGATTTTTCTCTGTGATATTTTTCTCATTAATTTCCTGTCGGACCTCAGGCACTTTAGTTTCTATTTCCATTTGTTGTTCATCAAATATTTCATATAAAACCTGTTGTTTTGATAATTGCTTATGTTGTAATTGTTCTTGTAAAAATGGCATATATGTGACCACAGATTGAGAAACTTCATTACGCTGTTTATCTTCATTTAAAAAATGTTGTAATGGCTGTTGTTGTACATTATTTTCAGTTTTAACATCAGTGCTATCATTATTATTATAAAAACGTAAAGAAGGAATTGCCGTATTTAGTAATAAACGGTGATGTGGAGAACAGTAGTCTTCTTCGTGGAAATGCATATAACAAACTTTAAATTTTTGTAATTCATCTACACACATGCTTTTTAAATGATCCAAATTTAAACTTCTTATCCACTCGAGACATCTTATTGGATTTTTTGGGAATTTGTGAGATGGAACTTTTTTTCCTGACTTGCATTGAGGGACACAACAACCCATTTTTTTTCTATAAAAATGTTCTCCATTATTACTAATTTACAATGTACTTTTTATTTTCTGCTTCTTGCTTTTCATGCCATTTTTACTTCTTATTATATCCTGTTTCTTCATTTCTTTGTGAGAGAAAGTTGACGAACTTTGGACGAGACAAGAAATACAAATGTCACGAAAGAGCAAAAAAAGCAAGAGGTAAAAAAGAAAGAGACATGAAGTAAAGAGCACACTGTATAGATTAGGCTTTATTTGTTCATTTCTCTTTTTGCTGTATATAGCGTTTAACAAGATTTCATGAAGATGTTACAAAAAGGCTCGTTTTTGCTGGATTCAGGAATTGCGCCTAGATAACTCTAGGGTGCATTTTTGCTATAATATATGTAACGTAACCTATAGCTTAGAGTTATCTCTCTCTTTCTTGAACGCACTCTGTGCTCGGGAAAAATAAAATAAACATTTATTTCAAGTTTTTAGACGAGCAATCCTCGTGATGATAGTATTTCCTCGCTATAAGATTGTATTTCCTTTCACAAAATCTATAAGAAATGATGCCTATTTTACTTTTCCCGAGCACTCTTCCTATCATCTTCCTTAAAGCAAAGAAAAGATATAGTGCAAATGATTTCAAGTATTACCTTATCTATCGATACTCGTCGTAAAGGTCAGGTTAGACCTGTTTTCTTAATGAAAATATCATGAGAATATATATCCTTGCAAATCCAGAATGTCGAAATAACGGTTTCAACATCCGTGGCGCTCAACAAGAAGACTCAACAAAGCACGCGATAAATCTTCAATTTTATGGATAAAAACGCAAAACTTGTTCACGTAGACTCAGAAATCGGAACAACAATTGAAGTTTGTTTAAACTTACAGGAAGCGTTAGCATGTGGCCATGGCGGATAAGATGCTGTATTGCGCATGATATGGCAACCAATAAAAAATCGGTTCTAAATATTAATGAAATAATCACAAACTTTTTTGCGTTTAAAATGAGATATATACATATTCGGGCGTTGAAGAGAGAGAGAGAGAAAGCGAAGCTGCTGAACTGCAAAAATGCAAGCAACGCGAACAGACTTAAGATTTTTCTATTCCTGACAGTTGCATATAGGGGCAAAATGCATGAACGCCATTATTTTGCTACTGCGGATCTTCGGGAATACCCGGTATTCACCCAAACAGAACGAGTCACGATAACGATCAAACAACAAAATGACATTAAAATGAATCGGAAATGATTGAAAAATGATTTTTAATGATTTTTTAATAACTTAATCATTTTGAAGTTATTTTGGCATCATTTTGATATTATAATAATTTATTGTTATTCTGCTTGGATATAATCGATTTTTTAAGCGATTTTTTAAAATAATGGTCTTAAAATAAGAACCGACTATGAATATCGACCTAAAGCCTTGTGTCCACGATGCTAGAAATCCGTCAAAGATCTCGGATGAAGAAAGAATTGACCAATCGCATTGATCATGTGACTAAATTGTTTAAATGTGATTGGTTAATTCTTTCTCTCTCCGAGATCTCGGACCAATTTCTAGCATCGTGAACACAAGGCTTAATTGTAGGGCCATTATATTTTAAGGGTGGATTCAGACCTAGGCAGAAAAGCAGAAAGTGGAAAAAGGGCAGCCAATCAGATCTCGCGCTGGTAGTCGCTTGTTTCGGCTTTCTGAACTACCCCTGTATTCTGTAATTCATTGTTCAAACGTTACGTATTGTTATGTGCCTGAAGATGACGGTGGGGATCGAAACTCTAATGAGGGGGTTCGATGTTCGATGTCGGGTCTCTTTTATATACAGGATTCTAATCTCAGGTAATGTCGAATTTTTCTAGATTTCTAGCATCTTCCCCAGCAATCTTATGGCGTTCTTTCTGGCGCCACTACGCGGCGACACCGATACCGTAGCGGAAGACGTTACGTCACGCAGGAACGACGTGCTAATGGTTAATGGCTTCCACGGCATTCGGTCGAGCTAGGCTTTTATGAGCGAGCCAGAATCCAATCCAAAGAAAACACATGAGACATGATGCGATCGGCCGATAGAACCATAAAAATATGATCGCCTGAACTCTGTACGATCACGACAGAGATTTATTTCTGGCCGGGGACATCGGTCGTCCGCGAATTACGTGCTGGAACTTGCGCGAAGAGGAAAACGACGTAACCATTACGCATTCTCATCGACCTTTCGTCATTGGTTTCGGCCCTGATGCGAACAACATTGAGGCTCGCCGCGACGTTGCAGGACATACATCGCACGTAAGTACGATTGTGAGCCCGTTGTCGCGTCGTTTCCCCGATTTTCCTCCTCGTGCTCGTCGGACTTTCGCTCGGAAAATGAAACTGGGCGAGTCCGTAGTCATGTAGGAGTAATGGCGGCCGTACCAGTTCGTTCGTGATACTCGTGGTTCCGCGTACCTCGCTCTCTCTTATCCGTATCCGCTCGTTCATTGTTAATTCGCGTCCAGTTGAGAATTCGAGTGAGTGCGACGCGGCTTATTAACATAACGCGACCGTACCGCTCGCAAGGTAAACGCGTTGTTCTGTACAATTTCGTTATATACGTACGCACCGTTAATGTGTGCGTGCGTGCGTGCCTGCATGCGTGAATGCGTGTGTACATTGTGTGCGGTTGTGTTCGCGCGTGAGTGTCATACATATCCATGACGATCAGTCTCGAGACCTGCCAAGAGTGCCGAGACTCTGTCGAGGCACGTTCAAGCAATAGCGTTATTTCCGTTATTTCCGTCGATGTCAGGGTAAGCCAGGAAGGAGAGCCTCACGCTCGTTCCTGTTGATATTTTCCCTACTCCCGCTCTCAGCGATGGCTGATGACAATCCGTCGCAATGTGAAATTACCTCTATATGCTCAAAGAGGGTACAGCATATTACACATATAAATTGTTTTTTACGAAAAAATAAAACGAATGCGTATGTATATATATTCGTAATAATATTTTATCAAAACAGTAGAAATTTTATAAATGTATTAATAATTATTGTGTGTATGTGTATGTGTGTGTTTAAAGAATACACTCTAAAATATAATAAATATGTAAACAGGACTCTACTGTTTATTTTCCTACGAAATTTTATTTTTACCTTTAGGTCAGTGTATAATAAAAGCATGCTTTTATAATTTATATATATATATATGTGTGTATATATATACATATAATAAATTTTTATATATATATGTATAATTTTATTGAAATATTTGCTTTAGGAGGTGACATGCCTAGCACTCGTGATATCGAACGGGCAGAACGTAATGGGAGATTTCGTTCACGAAGAAGAGGCAGTGCGAGCAGCGACGTGAATCGCCACAACTTCGATAGTATTGACAAGCGACACAGGAGACATGGCAAAAGTAAGAGTTCTGGAAAAAAAAAGAAGAAACGTTCACGAGATAAGTCATTAGAGACAATTCCAACTGTAGCTTCATCTGTTGTAAAACCGTTGGTCGAGTATTCCGACGTAAGTAGTGAAGATCTTTCAGAGCCTGAAGCGGGAGAGATACAATCGGAAGATAGTCGTGCCAATAGTTACACGGACGGAGAAGTACCTGATTCGTTTCTTCAAAGGCGATATTATGGCAGTAGCCCAATTCGTACTCTCGGAGCGTCACCTATCAGCATATCTCCAACACCGTCGGATACGATATTCCTTGTCGAACGAGCAACAACCGACGACGATGCATGGTACGACACCAGAATACGAAGAAGAATCGAGGCGATACGCTCGACGAAAAGAAAAGAAGCATAAACGCGAGAAGAAGAAGAAAAGAAGTCTGAGCCCTTCGGGATCAAATTCGGGGAAAAAGAAGAAGAGAAAATCTAAGAGACATTCTCATAGCTTGAGCCCACATCGCAGTGTTACCGACGAAATCGTTTCAAGTCCAAATCGTGAGAAACAATCATCAATTATTACTTCCGCTAATTGGTCCGAATCACCACCGTTGCCACTCAAGGACAACATGTCGCCTATTTCACCGGCCACGCCGCGCGAACAGAGATGTCCTAGTGACGATGTGGAACTGGAATTGTCGAGGCAATCTCGTAATGTGACACCACCATCTCTTTTGTCGACGCGGCAGATAGAATCTCCGCACACACCTTTAATGCCTCCATGCGCTACAACACCAGAGAATTTGAATAAAGCTGGACTAATTGCTGTGCCAAAGCACAGCAGTCCCGATCGGCAGAAACTTAGTCCCAGTATCCACATAACGCGCCGGACTAGCGTTAGTCCCGGACACATCGTTATAAATCGTAGGAAGCCGCACAGCCCGAGTCCACCGTCGAGACGAAGGGATCACAGTCCACCGCCACGAAGAAGAGACTTTAGTCCTACTCCGGTACTCCATAGACTTAGGCACAGCCCAAGCCCGGCTACCGTCAGACGACGAGAGTTTAGCCCGAGTCCCGGAAGTAGCCACAGACGACGAGCGGATAGTGGAATTATTTCCCCTAAACGTAGAAGACGAGACGAATCCGATCGACGTGGCCATCGACTTCATGATAAGGATAGGAGGGACAAACGGAAATCAAGATCGACAAGGAGTCCTACTGGAAGCAGGTACATTTTCGACGTCAGTTACTCTTTTCTACTATGTTGAAATGTAATGTTGCAGTAAATAAATTTATCACGTCACGCACTCACATAATAACTTCTTCAATTTTAGATTACATTTACCTTTGTCTCGATCACGATCACGCAGTCCAGGAAGGTGGCGGAAACTGTCTCGCTCAAGGTCACGTTCACGTCCCAGAAGAAGTCGCACCCCAAAAAGATCTCGCTCACCCAGCAAATCTTGCAAGGCTTCGAGGAAACTCAAATCAAAGAGCCCACGTCCTAGAATACCTTCTCCTTCTCCTCATAGATCCCGAGCTAGAAGCCCGTCGAGCATCACCGCCCGAAATCTTCGAGTACAAGCGAAAATTAGCGAGACCAGTCTGTTTGCAGAACTCGTTAAGGACCGTAATATGAGGGAATTGGCATTTAAGAAGTTGCAGGCCGCAAAGGAAAAGGTTGGGAATCAAGATGAAGTGCAAATCATAGAGGGCTCGGACGAGAAGGACGGCGATGGCGGCAACGCGTCCTCTGAGAATAAAGCTTCCACTGACAATAAAGATAGACCTATAAATCACAAGGAGCAACAAATGAAGGCTGGCGATAGTGTGGTCGACGTCACCGATATTCCTGTTCCGACGAGCGACGACAGCACTATAGCATGCAAAACACCGCCATTACCACCAACTGGTCAACCACCTAATGTACCACTACCTAATCCGATATCTGCTGCGATTAATCCACTTGCTTCTCACGCGGTGCATACTTCGCCCAACCCACCATCGGTGATGCCCAACAATTGTCCAATCGTCGTGTCACACAGCCCGAGTTTCCCAGCTCCTGCTCCTACAGTGCAACCACCACCGAGGTGCCACCAATCCCATCGACACCGATTCTGCCCAACATGTCTGTCCCACCGCCACCTATTCCTGTTCCAGCGCCCAATACAATCATGTCAAAATTTAATCCACCCAATAATCTTGTACCACTTAAATCCGTGGATCCTCCCAAGCCTCCCATAGTAACGTTCACGACCAAAAGTTTAAAGAGATTACCATTGCCACCTGGCATCAATCAGAATGATTTGGAAAGCATAGATTCGCCACCGAGCCGTTCTCCGAGCCCTCCCAGCAAAGCGCAGTTGAAGTTCTCGGCGTCAACGAAACCAATGCAGAAAAAGGGTATCAAGGATCTGCCAATGCCACCGGGTGAGTTTTCGGATGAACTTTGTATCATTATTGTTTACTAACGACATTTTAACTTATTGTTATCTTATCTTGAACTGTAGTTGTACCTGGATCGGAGGACTTGAGCGGTGAGGATGATCCAAACGCAACGCCGCCACGTTTGAAGGTCGAACGAGTGGCACCGAAGCCAAAATTGAAAAGACCGAAAATACTGAAACGCAGAGGATCGCGAAACTGTCATGCTCCCATGTCGGCTTCTGGCGGCAAAGATTGGGGTGAACGATGCGTCGACGTATTCGAATTTATTGCTCAGATCGGAGAGGGTACATATGGACAAGTGTATAAAGCACGAGATAAACGATCCGGCGTGATGGTAGCTTTGAAAAAGGTCCGACTTGAAAATGAGAAGGAAGGCTTTCCTATCACGGCGGTCAGAGAAATAAAAATCCTGCGACAACTCAATCATAAGAACATTGTTAATCTTAGAGAAATTGTTACTGACAAACAAGACGCACTAGACTTCCGAAAGGTACCTTTTTAGTTATAGCTATATGCAATCTGTAACAGCATTCAGTATTACAATATATTTGTCGGTGCTTTTTTTATTAATAGTATTATGTAGAGTAATTCGATATAGTATCACATTAATGAGAGATCGCTATCATATATAAAAAGAAAAGAAATGCAAACCTGCTATTGTACTCGTACATTAAGTATAAAATCAATATGCTAATTTAATTATCTTCTATGCTATATTTCTCAATGATTTAAGATACTGACAAACATGTTCAATTGTCAAGGAGTTTATAATAATTTTACGATCTTTAATTTGTACAAAATCAATTAATTATTTCATCTTGTATGCTTTAGGATAAAGGTTCCTTTTACTTAGTTTTTGAATATATGGACCATGATTTGATGGGTCTGTTAGAATCTGGCATGGTGGATTTCAACGAAATGAACAATGCCAGTATCATGAAGCAATTGTTGGATGGCTTGAATTATTGTCACAGCAAAAATTTTCTTCACCGGGATATCAAATGCTCAAATATATTAATGAATAACAAGTACATATGCGTTATTTATTGAGTAATTTGTTTTTGTACAATTACTCAGTATAATGTAATGTATAATTTTAATAGGGGCGAGGTTAAATTAGCCGACTTTGGATTGGCACGACTCTATAATGCAGAGGATAGACAGAGACCGTACACTAATAAGGTGATCACTCTGTGGTACAGACCCCCCGAACTTTTACTGGGAGAAGAGCGTTATGGACCCGCAATTGATGTCTGGAGTTGCGGATGTATCTTGGGAGAATTGTTTTCTAAAAAACCTTTATTTCAGGTAATAACCATTTCTCAAGCTAAAAACATATTAATATTAATTTATTATTAATAACAAGGGTAATTTTTTATTAGGCCAATGTAGATATGATGCAGCTAGAGATGATTTCAAGGGTTTGTGGGACGCCCACTCCTGCTGTATGGCCTTCTGTGATAAAATTACCACATTGGCATACACTTAAGCCAAAAAAGCAGCATAGGAGACGTCTAAGAGAGGATTTTTCCTTTATGCCAGGAGCAGCCTTGGATCTTCTGGATAAAATGTTAGAATTGGATCCCGAGAAGCGGATAACGGCAGCCGATGCGCTTAAAAGTGCTTGGTTGAAAAACGTTCAGCCCGAACAGTATGTTATCTTTTTGCGTCGGCTTTTTGTGTGTATTGGAATATGTATATTTTAATGTTTCTTCGTTCAAATCTTATAAAATGCATTACACTTTCACAATATATCAGGATGCCAGCGCCACAACTTCCAACTTGGCAAGATTGTCATGAACTCTGGAGTAAAAAGCGAAAGCGTTTGTTACGGGAACAGCAAGAGAGTGCTGCAACAAAATTGCCTCCTCTGCTTCCCTTCCCGAATAAAGGAGGTCCCAACAAGGATGATCTGTCAGATATCGGGGGGTGAGTAAAGTCGTAAAGAAATCTAATTTACGGGTTGCTAAGATGTACGTCTTAATGCCAATTGAAAACTAATTTGCTTAGACACTTAAATGGCTGTGTACGACAGTTGTGTTTGGCATTTATTTTCTTTAGCAAAATGCATTGTTCAAGTAACGAGAATTTGTTGAAAGTGAGAAGTGACATCAAAAAGAAAATGTAGTAGTATTTCTATGTGTTCCTTCCGATTCTCGTTTGCATGTCGACCTTTCTTCCTCTCAACCTAATGAATCAACGAGTTAATTTTAGTTTCGTTCACAGTCGTTCAAACACGACGATGCCAATAATGCAGAACAATGGAAAATAGAAGCACGAAACATCCTTCTCTGTTCGTGGCTTCGCTCTACAGAGATTGTTTACTTTTAAACAATTGATTTGATAGACTGTATGAGATATACTTAAATATTGTATTTTTCAGGGCATACGCTACATGCCTCGGCGATAATATATTTTACCATTACAAGATATATTATATTATTTAACTCTTTGGCTGCATCATGTAAAACTTTTTTTCTCTCTCTAATTAGAAATAAATAAAAAGTACAATATAGCTCAATTTTATTATTTTCATATTGATTGATTTAATATAAAAGAACAATGTAATAAATTTATAATGGATATAATTCCTTCTATAGCCTTTTCTCTCTCTTACTACAAAGTTTTCGATTTTAATTATATTTATATGTTTAAATTATGTGTTAAGTATATACAACATTTGCAGCTAAAGGGTTAATTATCGTCCCACTATTCATATCGAATCATTTACAAAGATTATAATGAAATGATTTTTAATTTTTATAATAACCATGTTGTTATAATCCTCTATATGAATGCCTAACAATCGTCACTTATAACGTACAAACTTCTATACAAGAAGTATATGTCCTAATAATCACTGTGATTCAGTCTACCATTCGTTTCTAAGGACGATTGTAAAAATTAAATTATCAGTTTTTATTCAGTTTCTATTTAGATATGTGTATATATCTTGTCAATATACGAAAGGGAAATATGTATACACGATATACATCAGCATATATATCGCAAAAAAAAATATATAATGCATGCGCTCATGTTATATATTAAAATGAGGAACATTTGTGTATAATTTTTGCGAATGTGCATATTGATTTAGATTCTTTTAGAGATTGATATAAAATATCTCTATATATAAATATATATATATATTTGTATTTATATTTAAACATACACAAATGGAAAAATTATAATTGAAAGAAATAATGATTGTAAATAAATATAGAGGTCACGTCAAAGTGATTTCGCCTTGCTGTTTTTCGTAAAAAGACTCTTCAGTTTAGGTACCTGTAAGTAAAGCGTAAAATGATAACATGTATAAATAGATAAGTTCTGAGCTGTAAAGCTCTATAATATAAATATATAGATAAGACATACAGGTACAAAGGATATGCTACATCGGAAGACTGAAGAAGGCGAATATAAGAAGACCAAGACTAAAATCGTTGTTAACCTTAATTCTGTTAATTTTATTTATAATTAATCCGATTTATTCAAACATTCACATTTTTGGCGTACATTTATATGCTTTAATCATCCTCTAGCCATCCTCCATATTACAATTTAGTAATTCATACTATAAATAGTTTTGATGAGTTTCTCGTAATGGCGAATCATTGTGTATTTATTTAGTATTTACATTATTTGTTTTTTTGCATGTGCGTTACGTTAACTGACACTATTTTTATGATGAAATTCAGTCTTCGGATGTTTTCAAACATAATGTTATGCAAAATAATATTGTAAAATAATATTCGAATGCTGCAATATACTTAAGCGTACTCAGAGACATTCGCTTAAAATATTTTTATGAGCAGTGAATGAATCTTTAACGCTATCAAAATATTATTTAAATTTTTTAGGTTCTGGTATTTTTTTATTTTATGGTTATATATATACATTACGTATTAGTATCTCTTCAAAAAGATCCATCCAACAAGCAGCACTCGACAATTATCATGGAAAATACTTATTTATCAGCGTTCACTGATTCAATATATGTAAAATAATCATAAAATATATGTTACTGTTTCTACTTATTCCACAAATATTTTGACACGTATAACTTTTTTTCGTTATTTATTTTTAAAAATAAAGGCAAGTAAATCGAATGTTTCATTTCTTTAATATATAATTGTTTGAATCATGTTTTTGATAGTAAATCAAGCACAATACCAATAGTATAAATATGAGAATGGTATAGAATGAATATTAAAATGTTTATTATATTAAATAGTAGTAATGAATATTAAAACTTTCAATAGATTTTTTTAATCGAACATAATTTATATGTATTTATGATATACTATTAAATACATGTACATACACATTCTCATATATATATATATATATGCATTTCTCTACATAATAATAGAAATTATTCTCGAATTTCTTTATTGTAAAGGGTGTGTTCCACATGGTGCACATCATGCATGAAATGGAATGCATCAACCAAAAATATCTCATACATACATATGTACATAAATAATATATATGTAATAGTATATATAAAATAAGTATATACAAAAACAACGATATAAGAAAATCGTTTTAAATACCAAAGTTTATGATGCCTCCTGACACATCTTTTATTTATATATTATATACATATATCTGTATGTGTGTGTATATATACACACATGTATATATGTGTATGTATGTATGTATGTATATATATATTTACCTGACAATATTAAGATTAATTGAACAACATAAATCCTTGTGTTAAAAAAAAAAAATAAAGCATATATGTATTTGTCCTTTGAGTTGAAAAACAATAAAATCATGATCTTTACATAATTTGCACCGTCTTTAATGGACCAGTAGATTACAGTATAATAAGACAATTTTCATGTTTTATATTTCAAAAATATATCATGTATTTTAAGAAGTAAAAAAAAGAAACTGATCTTTGATCTTTTATATTATATTCTCTCTGTGCAAAAATATAAGAAATGCGGATGAAGATCTATTGATATAAATAAAATAATGTTCATATATACATATACATATAAATAATGATGTAAAATGCTTTGAAAAATATAATGTTTCAAAACATGTCACATATTTTTACATATAATTTTTATTCAATACAATAAGTATAAAATCTAATAATATGATATTTTATTGTGTATATCTGTTCGATTTATTTGCATTGGTAATATGTAGTCAAAAATTATGCTTATGGTATGAAAAATGGTTATATTATTCAAATTGTATAACATTCGATATTAATAAGATTCTCTTTCTCTCTTTTAAATAATATAATCTTCCAAAAATTTGTTTATACGAATATATTCAAGTAAAAAAATATATATATCTATATTTTCATTTATATTGTTATAATAAATATTGTTCCATTATTAGTAAAATACAGTTACCACTCGTGAATATTATACAAGATAATGACTTAGAATAATGTAAAATTCTATAAGAATGTAAAGTGTAATTAGAATAATTTATAAATGGGTTTATATATAATATGTAAACTTATGTAATTTAAATACATATATGTGTATGTATATGTATATATATATATGTATTTTAATACATAATGTATACTGCATATAGAAAAAAAAATATATTTGAGTTATTCAGATATATATATATATATATATAGTAATTGTTGTCTCATATAGACAAGACGTTAGTATAACTGCATCACGTACCTATATCACTTTGTATTATTGTGGAATATGTAAAAAGTGACATATATAAAAGTGACTTTAGATAAATTATGAACAAAATAATTGGCACAATATCTAATAGGAAAAAATTATGTTTCAGGAGATAATATAATTGTGGCTGAATTATAAATGGACAATTTTTATAACACTTATAAGAATATATAATAGGTAATGAAAGCTTCAAATTTTAATACGTGTTTACGTCCAGTGTGTCCAATATTTTACTCATCTTTTACTCATCACATATGTGAATCATATAACCCATTCGCTTGAGCTAACCAAATGATAATTGAAGTGTATGGCGATAATAATCGCTGTACAATATTGTTTTATATAATATAGGATATTATGTGTATGTACACCGATGCATTAACTCGTAATGAAGAGGAAATATCTTGCTATTCTTCATTGTTCTACAAGATTGTTACATAAATAAACAATAAATACAATTTTACGCTTATATCTTTATATTAATACGTATGTATGTGCATGTATATATGTAATTTTAGTGCATATGTAATTGAGCTTGCTTTAAGACACGTTTGTATGGCTTACTAATTGCACGATCTTCCATTATTCTTTCATATCTTTAGACTATTAAATACAACAATATTTTATTATTAACAAGTTAAATATAATGTTCATAATTTTTTGTTAACAAGTTATATATAAATATTTCATAATTGGAAATTAAGAAAATATCATTAATCACTCAATTATAAATGAATTTCGTGTAAATTACAAATGAATCAATTTCATTCAATGTACATATTCGTTTCTATTTTATCTTTGAGTCGTATTTATTGAATCTTCACGTATGGCCTGTAATTTTATTACAGGTCCTCTAAACGACTAAAGATGGAAGCAGGCTATAACTCATACCCGAGCAGGCTCGGCGCAGAAGCTCATTATGGTGAAGATAATTTGTTTAATCAAAGCGGGCCGTACATAGTTTCTACGCCATCGTACTATTTTAATACTTCACCCGTTAAATCGCAGTCGAATCTGAAGGGAGATCAATCATTGGAGATGTGTACAGAGGATAATCTATCCCGGAGACTGATCATTCTCACGAACGCCTTGAATCAGGGAAAACCGATTCGGGTCGACGATCTTCTCTCGTTGCGGTCAGACCAGAACGAGGTAATTATGTAGAGATTTTCTAGACAATTTTCTGTTACGTAATGTATCTCGTATCAATTGTGATAATCACTTCGTTTACAATAACTAATATCTAATTTTTATATTTATTAAGGATTAAGGAAATATTTTTTAAGAATATAAATTTTTTTCTAATTCTTAACACCTATAATATTTACAGTGCGATCCCAAAGTGGTACAGTTGTTGGGAGATCTACGCGCAGAGCTTCGACTTGTTGCAAACGCTCGACCAGGTGGACAGCTGGATCCTCATCTTCCTATATTAAACCCACCTCTTCTAGGTATACGTATACCTAGTACTCCCGGCATTATATCCGTTACATTAATATTGACACGTAACTTTTCCTGCAGATATGAACACGCCGCATATGCCAGGCAATTTTGATGCGCACGCGGTGTATGCCGGCGACGATGCTGTGAGCTCTCACGGGAGATGGTCCCAATTGGCCACTGCTGGTGTTCGGAGCGCTTTGTCGGCGCTCATATCGTATCATGGTCTGGATAACATCTATCCTGCGTCTGCCATCAGCCGATTATCATCAAATAAACCGCCAGGACAGCCCAACCTGGCGCAAAACCTTTTCCTGCCCTCGACTTCCTCGCAACAATCTACTTTTAATTCGTAATGTGATTTTACAAAGTCGTACGGTGCATAACCATGTATCGTGTATGTTGTATGTGTGCGTATGTATGAAATTAGAAAGAATCTATAAATCGCTATTTTTCAAATTATGCTGGTGACATAGAGAGATAGAGAGAGAGAGAGACTGAGAGAAGAGAGAGTGAGCGAGCGTGCGAGAAAGAAAGATGATACAATCATATCATCGATTTGTGTACAGTCTCCATTATCACTCCATTAGTTCTAAGTGCACGTTCAGTGTATAATTGTATAATATGCGACCAGATACTTAATTAGAATATAACTTCTCTCCCAATGACAATGGTATTATAATTATCACGATACTTACCAAATTGCTAATGATACAATTATTTCCAAGTTATTTTTTCGATCAGTCGTGCGTTGAAGAATATTTCTCTGGCGTTTCTTTCCTGCATTATTACGAAAGGTCTGTGATACACATGTGTGTGTATATATATATATACAAATATATATACATATATACATTACATATTGCGAGTGGGAAGATGAATTTAAAAAGGAACTCGAACTCCGATGCTTGTTTTCTGGTAAAAAAAAAGACATACTCTTGCTTACAATGCTCGACGTGAGATTTTTAAAGGATTTGCGTTCTATTTTAATCTCGTGAAAGAATTTTATTTCAAGAGAAATTAGGCGATGCTATGAGGGAACGTTTATGTAACATTATAAATGTGAATATTTATTTATTGTTTAAGATTTTTTATATAAGATACTACTATATATTATGAACGCTTATTTATTACGAATATATTTACAGTATACAATGTACATATATGCTAAGACTATATAATAAAGATGTCAATGGATGAATCTCAATGCTTATTAAATCAAAACATCTATACGCTTCATTGTATGTAGAATATATATATGTGAATATGCATACAAATTCATGCATTCTTATGTGTTATTTTTCAATTGATCAAAGCTGTATGAATATTTTTATGGCTCTCGGATATATTTTTACTTTTCTTTCTGTAAAATTTCAAAATCATTCGGAATTATACTTTAGGGGCCCACGACTAGACGGTCCTGAGTTTATATGTGTACAGTCAGCAACTAAAAGGTTGCAACACTTTTTTCAATGAGTTTCAGAATGCAATCTGTTCATCGAGCGATTAGTTATTACTTATGGACCCACAAGTAACAATCGCTCGGTAAAAATAGGCTGCATTCCGAAACCCATTTAAAAAAATGTGTTGCAATCTTTTAGTCGCTGACTGTACATACATGATACATCAGAATTCAGTCATCATATACATACATATATACATACATACATACATCATACATACGTACTACACGGTAAACTGTTATGGCGGATTGGGTTGGAATGTGTCGAAATGTTGATAGATCGATAATCGGTACAAATACATATTAAAGATTGTATAACTAATTAATAAAAATACATGTTGTGTAAAGACAGATCGCGTTTATGCACTTACGATTTTTTGAGAACAATTTAAGCAGGTATTCGTTGAAAAAACAGGGAAGATACCCCAGATACACGTGTTGCTCCGAAACGATCGAAGTGTACTCCAAACAACAATGTCAGTGATTCTGCAGTTTAACTGTTTGACGCAGAACGAGACTGCGAGAAAAGCAATGGAGAGCTACGTTGAAATCTTGCAAAAAGCATTTGAACATTATCAAAGTAGGTACATATTATTACTGTCATTTATATCTAATAAATATTCTTTTTTTATTAAGTATTAAAGAAATGCTAAAATAATTAAAAAATAACATTTATAATCTCATCACCTTTCACATGAACTTATGTATTTCTGAAATCGTAGAATTGATCACAATTTGAAGTTATAAATCTTTAAAATACTTTGAAAAACTTTCATATAGATACTCAAGTAAGATCGAGATTGGCTATCATTTAGCCAGCTTCTGATTGGTCCGCCATGTTCAGAACGACGCTTAAGATAGAATGAAATAAATATATAAGCCATAATATATGTATATATAAGTGCGTTGGAGAAACCGTTGGTTATTAGCAATATTTGTGTCATTCTATTTTTGTTTTACGTCTAATTAACGATGAAGATAGAATGACAAAATTAATAGCGCTAATAGCGCCTCCTTGAACACACCTGTAGAATGAGATACATGGATATCTCATTCTATTATCTTATGCATTATCTTAATTATCTATCAGCTGTCTCATTCTATCTTAATTTTATGGCGTTAAAGAGAGAGAAAGCTAAAATGCTGAATGCAACAAGTGCAAGCAACGCGAACAAACCTAATAGCTTTACTTTCTTTTTCAATGCCCGAATATACATTATTTCTTTTTTAAGTGCAAAAATATTTAGGGATTTTATACCCATTCTACAATATGTCTCTTTGTTTCCCGTTTGTTGCTTTTTACTTTTTGCTTTTTCTTCCTTTGCAACCATTTTATCGATAATTATATTTCTTGCTACGTGTTTCCTGTTTCTTTTGAAGTTCGTTAACTTTTATCTTGGGCGACATAAAAGTGCATAAAACAAAAAACCGGATAAGAAGCAAAAAGACAAGATGTAAAAAATAGCAAAAAGCAAGAAACAGGAAATAAAAAGCACATTGTAGAATAGGCTTTAAGCTATAGGTCTGTTCGCGTTGCTTGCACTTTTGACACTCGGCATCTTCGCTTTCTCTCTTTTCAAGGCCAAATATATATCTATCTCATTTTAAGTGCAAAAATATTTGGGGATTTCATGCAACGCGAACAGACCTAATGTGAACATAACCACATGAAACACGCGAAAATATTTGATTTATGCTGCTATCTGCAGTCAATTATCTGAATCTTGTAACAAACTGCTAGTAAATTTTCGAACGACTATCTAAAATTTACTAGACCACCAGAACAAACATTAGAAAGCGCGCCAAAATTTAAACATTAGGATATGCATTAATACCTTTTAAAACAATTTTCTAAATTAAGCCATGTCGCTAGCTAAATATTTAAAGGCTATTTATCTTATCTATTTTATCTACTGAATTGTTTATATAAATGATTTGTATAATTGTTGTAATATTTTGTTTTACAGATTTGTGGGAAGATTATATAAAATTACAGGAAAAGTATAAACAGTGTAATGCGTGAGTTTACAATCATTGTTTATTTATATAATTCGCATTTATATAATTTAGATTCTATGGCTACGGTCCACTTGATGTTATAAATGCTTCAAAGCATTTTTTGATTGGTCAATCAAACGCTTCGAAGCATTTGTAGTGCCAAGTGAACCGTACCCTAAGTCAAAACTTAAATTATTTATAAGTTATATATAACTTAATAAGTTCTAATAATATTTTGCCAATGTGTATAAAAATATGTGCATGTGTTTGTACATATACATATATCATATATTGTATAATATACATATAAATATATGATTTTGTAGACTACATTCTTCATCTCAAGTGACGATTGATACAAAAATAAAAGATGAAGCGACATCGCAACATTCTCAACAGTCGAATAACGCTGATGTGCGAGAAAGTAATAGTACCCCATCTCGTACTCCATTATTGAGATTAGTTACAAATTCGATTGATTTTAATTCCGATACAGAACCTAGTCTGTCAAATACAAGTGAATTTTTGTACAAAGATACCGACGAAAATAATCGGCCAGAAAGTCCAGTATTTTCTAAAATATGTCCAAAAACTGGCGCCAAATTTGCAAAGAAATTGCGTTTACCCAAAATACTATGCAGTGATTCAACTTCAGATATGAAGACATATCATGGTGAAAAAGTTTCTTCAAAGTATAATCACAAATTAGAAATTAGTACAACACATCATGTGGAAACCACATTTTTGCCAGATGGAAAGAGATTGAAGCAATCTCGACTTGCATTTCATCCAATCAAAAATAACGAAATTATGGTATTAGCTTCAAATGTAGATAAACGTAAGCCAGCTAGTATATCGCATAATGTCGAACAGAATTTTACTGAAGAAATTTCTATTGAAAATGCAAGTATTACTAAGAAAGATGCTACAAACAACAGTATTGAAATTTCTGAGGATGTGATAGAAGTCAGTCCTACACAGAGAAATATTACATCTAAAGTCAAGCGACGTTTAAAATTCAAGAGGAAAAATCCTACAAGACATATAATGGAAAGTTCTCCGAGTAAAAATAAATATCTTAAGCATAGACCTGGTCTTAGTGTTATTCCAGAGATAATAAATGTAGATTTTGGGTTATGTCCTTCGCCAAAACATACTTCTACACAAATGGAAAATGATAAACCCTTAACGAATACTATAGTTAATACAGTTAATACATTGAAAGATAAAGTTAGCACAAATTATTTTTCACCAATAAAAATGGATAATAAAACCAATGTTCAAATTAAAAAATCTATTGAAGCTCAAAAGGAAGATCCATTATTAATACTGAATCTTAATAACATAAAAGACTTTGCCTACAAAGATGAATCTTTTTATCAGCCAGTAGCTGCAAAGAAAAATGACATGGATAATTTAAATGACGAAACACGTTTGGATGATTCAGAAAACAAGCCACCTGGAAAAAAGATGTTATTGAATAAGTTTAATGTGTAAGTATTACTTAATAATTGTGGTAATGCAAGTTGCTTTTATATATCTAATGAAAATATATTTACAGATTCCCAAAAAGAAAGGCAGATGTTTCAGAACAACTCAACATGCGATGTAAAGCTGATAGAGAAAAATTAAATGGTTTGGATTGCTGGGAATGCAAAAAAGTAATACACAATATTAATATGTTTAGTTACGTAAAATGTATAATACAAAAAACAATACTTTTTCTGTGGAAAAATTATGCATATTTTTAATATTTTCAGTATTATCAGAATTTATCACTGTCAAAAGAAGAATTGAAAAAACGATTGAACCAATGCTCACGACATCGACAAAAGTACGAGAGGCCAAATACACCAGAAGGTATAAAATTTCATTTCTTTGTCTTTTTTATTAGATATGATAAAATATAATTTTTTTTAAGGTTTTTGGGATCCGGAGTTTCCTGAGACGTTGTCATGTACTTATCGACAATAAGAAAATTGAAGTATACATATGTTTCATCATTTAAATCTAATTCTCACGGTTTTAACCTTGAGTTAGAAGTTTATTATAATAATGTAGCGTGCACAATCTTTCGTTATCTTTTCATTTTAAGTTAATTGTGTTTGTTATGAATTCTATTCTACATGTGCTACACACGTACATTCGAACAAGAAAAAGACTATGGGCTACTTCATCCTGTCGTTGCAATTTGCCAATTCCAATCAATCATTGATTAAAGTTAATCGGAGTTGATCGAAGAGGCCCAATAAAAGATTAACGATTCCAGAATAGAATTTTGTCTACATATTTATTTGTACATAGGCTGTGTTCCGTTTCATGCATGATGCGCATGATGCATCTTTTATCCTTGTTATTCACCGAATGTTAAACAAGGATAAATGATGCATTATGCACATCATGCATGAAACGGAACGCAGCCATAATTATATAAATAAATAGTGATGATCGATAAATATAAAAAAGTATCATAATTCTGTTTTTAAAAATAAATATCTTAATATAAAAATAAATATTAAATGTATAAAATATTTACAATTAAATATAATGTATTTGTTAAAATATGAACGAAAGGAAATATAAGCGTATTCATGGCTTGAACATAGATCGATTTATTATTTTACAACATATATATATAGTATTATATATTGGGTAACATAGTATAGATTTATATAATTATATATATAAGTTATCCCTTTACATAAAAATATAGAATTTGTTTTGTGAGTCAGTCGGTGCTAAAGAAGGCTAATCAAACTCAGTTGCGGTGACCAAGCGAAGTTTGACACAGTTTTAAGGTACATTAGTGTTCCTGCTTTTCAAAATCCCTTCTAAAATAATATTTGCATCATGTAACGCTGTTAAACAATTAATTATAGGCTCGCGAAACATTAATTCTTAAACCTATCTGATTTTATCTAATACCAATTTCGACATAGCTTTCAAAAATATATTTAAATAACAAATTCTGTTATCTTCCGTTTTTAATATTTTTTCATTTTTAAAAATTCATATTTTTCGATAAATAAATAGATGTTACAAATATATGTATATATATATATTTGCAGAAAATAATAAAAGTAAAAAATTTTGACATGAATTTAATCGCCGAACAGTAATAAAATAGCTTATTAGACGTACATTTACGTATGTAATCTCCATCATTTAACACCATATTCATCAAGCTATATAATTTCCCAGCAAAACGATCGCACGCACATATAATACTTTAAAACATCAAGTCATATTACCGATTTTCTTATAATAATTCTTGAAAACAAAATGTTGATTCATGATTGACTAGATCATTTTGTAATACAAATTTATGCGGTTTTTTTGTCTTCTTTTTTATCTTCTTTTCTGCGAGTTGATAGTTGATATAATATGTTTGTAGCTGTCCGATCGATCATTCGCGTACTTAAAATATATATCTGATAATTCCATAGTATACAATCTCATATTTGATATATACTTTCACGAATGATCCAATTTGTTTATAAAATAAATATATAAGAATATTAACAATTTTTTATGAAGGAAATAACGAAGTTAATTAGAAAGTGACTGTTCCGAAAATGTATACAGCTTTATTAATGTAAATTCTTATGTTCTGTCATATACGTATATTTTGGTATCGTGCAATTGACTTAGCTGATTGGTTTACGCTGATTTTAATTATTATTTATTGAATTTGAGATTAAAAAATTCATCTATCCTTTTAAAGCTATTTTAAAGCACATTAATCGAAGGGCACGTAGGAGTTAATGTAATTCAGTGTACCCAAATAATGTACACGCAAGAAAATTTTGTCTTTTTGCGAATGTTTTACAATATAACAGGAACGTCCTATTATATTTTTCACAAATATATTTTAAATTATAAATAAGTTGAAATAATTACAAACAAGAAATAAAATACTCATATGTATTTAAACAAAAAGATAAGAAAAAGCCTATGAACAAGCAAATAAGATGTATATTTAATAATAACTTTTAATATTGCAACAAAAAGAGATGGGACGTTTTGATTTACTTAGCCATTTTTAGACATCATAAAAAATTAATCCATAACGCAAATCTTGAATAGCATTAAATAATACTAAACAAATCACGCGAGGCACATCACAATTTTACAAGCAATAATTTTCTCCTTGCGTTTGTTACAACAGCCTGAGTGTATGTATGTACATGCAAGTCCATGGTTCGTTGTTATGTAAACATGGGTTGAGTCAAATGTTAAAATACGGAATAGGTCGCAAAGCCAAGATGTCAATTGGATATGGATATCCATACTGTGGACTTAAACTGTCACTATGAGAGAGAAGTTAATTATATTCATTAATTTTGAAACTTTAAAGAATTAAAGTTAAAAAAAAATGGGCTTACAATATGTCTATAGTATTCGATTTCTCGTGAATATCTGTCATGTTAGCGTTTCGAGATGTGATTAACGTTATTCAAGATTTGCGTTTATATGAATTAATTCTCTGATGGCTGAAGATGGCTAAGTAAGCCGAAACGTTCCACCGCTTTTTGTTGTAGTATTAGTAATATTACAAGTTATTATTAAATATATAATTTACTTGCTCGTTCATAGGTCTTTTCTTATCTTTTTATTGTTTAAATAATTATAGTTAAATTCAGCTGGTATGTGACGCATTTATAATAAAGTATTAAAATTTCGATATAGATGATTTTATATATAAATATTTCATAAACTTTCTATGAAAAACAATACATTTTGTTCACGTCAGACAATAAAAATCTCGGCCTGTATTAGCAGTCTGATCGTCAGTCCATAATTAATAATGAGCTGAATATAATTCTTGTATTAAATAAATAAAATTTCCAATTTCAAATGTCCGCGTTTAATGATAAAAAATCGAGGTACTAGTTAGACTTGAATCTATTAGTATAAAATGTCCCGTTGTTTCACCGATCGATCGTACAGTGTAATAATCGTTCAGTTGATGATACATTGCGTATGCCTCGAGGAAACACCTAACGTATCCACCTGTCTTTCTGTTGTCTACAAGTATTTGATCCTTGAAATAGGCCGCGTTTGAATGAGCGGAAGAGGACGTTACGCGATTAGTTGATATAATAAAACAGTACCATTTTACATCAGTAAAAGAAAAGATTAAGATTTATGCACCACGTTAATATTTCAAGCTGTCTTAACATATACAAGTATCGCTCTTACTTTCCCTCTCTTTACATATTGTTCTTAAATTAAAAGTGTATTTAACTTAATAATTCTCTCCGATATATATGTCATTATATATTTGTCATTATAGAAGTTTAAATCGACTATCATTCTTTTCGTATTTTGGGGAAATACAATCGGAATACGAAAGAAGCTCGCGACGGTGCATTCTAAAACTAATTACGCGAAGGTGCGGGTCAATCGGGAAGTACCGAGCGTGTAGAAAATTCCAACGAAATTCCAACAACCGATTGATTCACTTTTTACTCCAGTAGGGTACATCGTAGTAAACAGCTAGTAAAAGTATTTAGCTTTTTCATGAAACATCGAAATTAATAGAATAGATACCTTTTATCCTCGTTCGCGCGTCTTGATTATAATTATTTTAACCCTGAACAGTATAGAATAGAGAGCTGACAAGTAATTAGACAATCAGATTTCTCGTACATCTCTTTTGCAACTAAATTTTGAAGAACAGAGCTTCAAACATTTCATTTAAAAAAATAAATTTTTTTCATTTTTTTAGAAAATTTATAAACAAACATGAAAAAATAAAAAATTCTGACTTTCTAAACTTATTAAAATTAATAAGATGTTGTTAAGCCTCAATTTTATACTGTTCAGGATTAAATTTGCGTCGTAACTTTAGCTTCACTGCTCCGATTTCGTCGGTGGCGAAGAACTGGTAGCCGTAACGGATTTCTCATTTGACGATACGGGTAAAGCCTTGAGAATCGCATGTACCTCTTCCGCCACTGCCATCAGGACGAACTCGAACTGTTGTTTCGTAGCAACCATGTCGGGTCTTTGATCTCTAATATGCTCGAGAGTAGCTGCGATATCAATTTCCTTCGCTCCCTTCGTCATACGGTTTAGGACCATGTCGATCAAGCAGTAAGTACCAGTTCGTCCAGCTCCATCACTGTGATATGATTAAGTAGGATACACTGAACGTCACACTGATATTTTAAATACTTAATACAAAAATATAAATACCTGCAATGCACGACTATCGGGCAAGACCTTCCACGATATGATTTATTAACTTTCCTAAAAAAGAAAAAATCGAAATAATTTAAAAATTTATTTTTAGATATATATATATATATATATGTAAAATAGTATTTATCATTCTTTTTTCTTGGATTTTTAATTAATATATAAATAATTGTGTACAAAATGCAGTGTTTTCAATTAAATATTTCGATTTGATGTTTTTATATAGATATATGTATAATTAAATAATAATCTTTTAAACAGTTTTACGGTATAAATATAATAAATTATTATGTAATGATATGTGGAGGTAATATGAATTATGTAATAATAAAAGAGTCGCATATCCCTACAAAATACCAGTAAACAGTTAAATCGACACAAACCTACGGAACTCGAGCAGAGCCTTTGTAGAATACGGGACGCTGTTCTCCGGCCAGGAGAGGAAGTGGAATTGCGTGACAGTACGAGTCTCACAAGTGCGCAGATTTTTCAGGTAGAAGGAGCGCACTAGATAATCATCGCACCAAAAATGCTCCGACACCAGATGCACTTCGTAGATGTGATAGAGCTCCGATCCTTCCTCGGGCCAATAACGATGGCACATGGCACGGCCTTCTTCGGTAAGTCGTGTCAGCATAACAATTACCACGCTGCCTTGTTCCCAAACCAATTGCCAGAAATCAGCCGTAGTCTGCGGTAATGGCCCTTGCGTGGCTATGTAAGCCGGATTCCGAGGATCGTGATCCGTCTGCAACGAACAAATGATATTGTGGCTTTCACAAAAAAGTTCGTTAAACGCTCGGTCCATTGTAAACGTTGTAATAAATTAGGTTTATTGAAAAAATTGTTTGTTGTTTCCTTCCTGATTCTTATTAAAATAAAGAAGCGTAATTTTAGTAAACTTATAATCACAGTTCGAATTCAATACCTGTAAAGAATTTTCATTCTTTTTTTCTATTGATTTAAAGCATTGTTTCCAGTCATGGGTGTTTAATTGTAGCGAATAAGTGTGAAAATTCAATTTCTATTGCTAGTTTTCACTTTTTCTTTGAGTTTCTCAT